CCTCTGACCCTCTTCCCTCTCGTGCTCTCTGTCTCTCATTCTCTCTCTCAAATAAATAAATAAAATATTTAAAAAAAAAACATAACATAATAAAAAAAGGACATCAGCAAAAAAAAAAAGAAAAAAGAAACAAAACAAATGAAAAAAACGTGGAAAAAAAGAGAGAGAGAGAAGGAAATAGACAAACCAAGAAACAGACTTTTAACTATAGAGAACAAACTGATGGTTACCAGAGGGGAGGTGGGTGAGGGATGGGTGAAATAGGAGATGGGGATTAAAGAGTACACTTATCATGATGAGCACTGAATGTTGTATGGAAGTGCTGAGTCACTATATTGTATACCTGAAACTAATATAACACTGTATGTTGACTATACTGGAAGTAAAATAAAAAACTTCATTAAAAAAAAAAAAGAAGTGGTATGTATTTTTCCCCAGTCCTTTAATTTGCACTGTCTTTGTGATATACTTTGACCAAAAGAATGTGGCAGAAGTGATGGTGTAATGGGTTGAATTATGTCTACTCCCCACTCTCCTGCAAAAAGAAAGCTGTGTTGAAGTCCCCAGTACCTCAGTATGTGGCCTTATCTGTAAATAAAATCTTCACAGAGGTCAAGTTAAAATGAGGTCACTAGGGTTGGCCCTGTCCAGTGTGACTGGTATCCTTACAAAAAGGGGAAATTTGAAAACAGAGACATGCACAGAGGGAAAATGATTTGAAGACACAGAGAGAAGATGGTCATCTACAAGCCAGGGAATAACTGAGGCTACCAGAAACTAGGGAGAGAAGACTGGAATAGCTCCTTCCCCAATGCCTGCAGAGATGGTATGACCCTGCTAACACCTTGGTTTCAGACCTCTGGCCTCCATAACCGTGAGACAATAAATTTCCCATTGTTCTAAGCCACCCTTTGTAGTACTTTGGTGAGCCCTAGGAAACGAATACAGATGGCATGATAGTTCTGAGTCTAAGCCTCCTCCTCTCTCTGTCTCTCTCTCTCCCTCTCTCTCACCTTCTCTCTCTTATATTCCTCTGTCCTCACCATAAGAATATGCCCCATCTAGCCTGAGAATAAGTCCGGACTAGCCGGCCCGGAGATGACAGACTAGTCTATAGCCAGCTGACCACAGACACATGAATAAACCCAGGAAAGACCAGAAGAACTGCCTAGCCACCAACAGACACTCTTATTGTTTTGATAAGCTTTGTTATGCAGCACTACTGTTGCAATAAATAACTGATACAGAAAACAAGATCATACAAACCAAATGGTAACATGTAAGAAACACATCATATTAGAATGTTATCTATGGAGGAATGGAGAATGAAGAAAAAAATGGAATAAACAGACAAAAGGGTTTTTTTTTTTTTGCAGAATAGTGATGATATTATGCAATGAATAATTAAGTCAACACTACACAAAAAGTGAAATATGTGAATAAATAAAAATTAAGAATGAGGCCTAAAAATGATTATGGACTGGAAAGGTATGGGGGTGGGACAAGATTTGTGTTGTGGGTTAAATTATGTACCCCTCAAATTCATATGTTGAAATCCTAACCACCAGTAGCTCAGGATGTGGCATTATTTGGAAGTAGGGTCATTGCAGATATAATTAGTTAAGATGAGGTCATAGGGTGGGCCCTAATCCAATATGACTAATGTCCTTACAAAAGGGGGAAATTTGGACCTAGAGGAACGCACTCAGGGAGACAACTGGTGAAGATGAAGGCAGATGAGAAGGATATTTTTACAAGCCAAAGAATGCCAAAGATTTCCAGCAAACCACCAGAAACTAGGAACAGATTCTCCTTTACAGCCTTCAGAAGTAACCAACCTTATAGACACCTTGATTTCTGCCTCCTAGCCTCCAAACTGAGATAATAATAAATTTCTGTTGTTTGCTTAAGCTCCCCCATTTGTGGTACTTGACTACAGCAGCCCTAGCAAACTAATACAAGGTGTGATGAGGAGGACATTACTCCTCTCCTACCTAGAATGGGATGATGAATCCCCAGGATTGAACTGAATGGAAGATGATAGTTACATTTCCCCTCCTCTACTCAGAACTTGGTGATATTTATTTTCATAAACAATATCTCTCCAAATGAAACATTTCTCAGTTTTTAAATTTTCATTGAGAAATATTCCCATTAAAGATACTTATATAATTTCCCTTACCACGATGGCAATTTATGACTAGATCAAGCCAAGTAACAATATTTGGGGATCTTATCCATTCATCATAGGCTCCTCTCCAATTTTCACTTCAGTAGTTAGGCCCATAACCTCCATATCCCATTGGTCACAAAGGCACTAAAATGACTTAATTTGAGCATTAGAAGGGAACACTTAAAATTAGTGGTTAGCAACTTCTTATATGTATCATGGAGGTGACTGCAGAAACCTATAAGCTGACAATCAGTATTTATTTTTGCTTATACTGTCCACCATTGTGGAGGTCCTGGGTCTTCCTCTCTGTCAACACCCACCTCTAAGGAAATTCCAGGTTAGGGAGGCATAAAGAATCTCTGAGTAGCTGCTTTTCTGCTGACATCTGGTGCCCTTCCTCACCCCTTCTCCCCATTAGGGCATGGAAACCTAAAAGTAAATTGTTCCCATACCTTCAATCCTTTTCTCCTCCTCCGATGACATGCCAGTTTCTGAATCCTCATAGCTCTGTTCTTCATCAGAGAAGTGCGAGGTTTCTGAAAATGCAAAGCCCTCTTCACCATCAAAAACACTGTGCTCTGAGTCATTATAATTCTCTTCTTCCAGAGCAGGCTCTGCATCTTCAGAGTATCCAAGAGATTCTAGATATTCCTCTTTTCCTAAGTGCAAAGCATCATCTGGCTCCTTGTATCTGTGTCCATCCTGTAAATACACAATAGTTGCTGGAATTTCATATTCAGTGTTCTCAACTGAAGGTGGCAATATGACTTTGGGTGTGTTGTATTCCTTCTCATTTTCCCTGGGGGCCCAAGCAGTTTCTTTATGACTAGTTTTCTTGTCCCGGAAGGATTCAGAGGTTCCCATAACCAGGTGTTCTTTCTCTGTGAAGGACACTGTGATCTCAGGATTCTCAGGCTGTTTCTCTCCAGAGGAAAAAACATCTTCTGAATTCTTGCTTACCCTTATAGGCTGAGGAGGTCCTATATTCTCATGCTTTAAAAATTCTGAAAAGAACAAGAAAGTTGGGGGGGCAGTTGTTTCACTTTTCCAAATTAACAAAAAGAAATTTTATAATATCTTGAGTTTCCAAGACCTCAAAGCATCATCTCTCTTCTTTATTTCAAAACTGGAGGATAGGAATACCTAGCATTTCCCACAGAAATAACAAGTCAACTGTCATTCTTTCTCTCACTGGAAAAAAATCAGATCACATTCCTACCTTGCTCAAAAGTTTGAGTTCTTCTTAGCAAACTCTAAGAGTACATGAGTAAAACAGAAAATGTGAATCCTATAAATAGTGCTTACTTGTGGTTTTACTGTGACCCAAAACCAACTCAGATTTCCTAGGGTCATTGCTAATGAAATCTGATCCTAATAATTTCTAATCAGGAAGCAAATAGCTCAAATTTGGAATAGTAAGTCCTAGAAATAATAGTATCTATTTCTCTAAGCACATGGGTCTTGTCCTGCATTAGAGATCATTTGCATTAACCTTTTTATCTGAGCCTCTACCTCTCTAATATCTCTTAAAATAATTTTCAATATAGAATTTTAGAAAAAGGAACTGTACCTGCCTCTAGTGATAATCTACAGAATTGCTTAATAATCCATTCTGGAAGAATTACTCTTTCATCTGCCACTAACATTGAAGAATTAGCATTTGAATTGCCAGAAAAGTAGGCTTCTGCTGGCATTCTTATCACAGAAAAAAAATGAATTTACTGATCCACCATGTATGTGTGCTAAAAATCACTTTTCTGATATTTCCAAAATTGTTATACTAAGTGAAAGAGGCAGCTTTGGTCTTGGGGTTGTTAAATATCCATGAATTTACTTACCGAATAGTAAGCAGTTTATTTTAGCACTAAAAAAAAACAAAAAAAAACTTCAAGTTTTGGATACAGTTTCAACAAAAAATTATCAATCCCCTAAACCAATAAGATACATTGTTCCCTCTTTTAAGATCCTGGACGCTTTTACCCCATATCACATTTCAGTGAAAAATATCTCCGGGAGACAGACCAATGAAAACAAAAGGCAATGATTTTCTTTTTTCAGGAAATCTGCCTTGTCTCTCTCACCCCCCAAAAAGTATAGAAATCCAACTTACCATGCCGTAAGCCCCAAATGGTAGCTGACTCTGGAAAAGTACTAAGTAAACACTTGAGAAAATGCTGACAGCTCACCTCTCCCTTTTTCTGTACCAAAATTAACAGCTTTCGACTTTTCTTCAGGGGATCTGTAATTTTCTCCAGAGTCTCATACTCTTCCTCAGAAACCAGCCTCCGAGCAGTTAATGTATCTAAGACAGAATCAGGATCTTGTTGGAGGATTTCAAGTAACTTTTTTTGTTCTCTTTCTATGATCTCTGAGGGAACACTCCCCGCAGCCATTGTTCTTCTGTCCTCTAGACCAGGAAATGGATTACGAAACTGAAACCGTTCCAATAGTAAGTGAATACAAGTTTTAAAAAAATGGCAAAGAATAATTCTATTTGGCAAAGATTAAACAGGTTAAAGATGCCCGGCACTGGAAAGAGTGGGTACAAACAAGGCAAGACAGTGGGGAAATCTAGCCCTGAGCCCACCGAGGTCTGGCTCCTTATAGATTATCTATCTACTTTTTTTTTATCATGTTATGTTAGTCACCATACATCATTAGTTTTTGATGTAGTGTTCCACGCTTCATTGTTTGCGTATAACACCCAGTGCTCCATGCAGTACATGCCCTCCTTAATACCCATCACAGGGCTAACCCATCCCCCCACCCCCCTCCCCTCTAGAACCCTCAGTTTGTTTCTCAGAGTCCATAGTCTCTCATGGCTCATCTCCCCCTCGATTCCCGCCCCCCTTCATTTTTCCCTTCCGTAGCATGGCAGACATTAGATTATCTACTCTTTTGATGACTTGAGTTCATCTCATCTTGACTCAGCCCCAGGGTCAATTGCTCCGAGAAGTCTCTCTTGAACTTCAGTTTGGACTAGGTATTCCCTGCTCTGAGCTCTATTTGTGATAAGAATGTGAATTGATTAACTCTTTCAGGAGAGAAATCTGGCAATAGGCAGCAAAAAATAAATAAATGCTGATAGATAAACACACAAATTTATACCATTTGACTCAGCAACTTCATTTCTAGGAAATTATCTTAAGGAAATAATCAGACAAATGCCCAAAGATATATGTGCAAGAATCTGCATAACAGTTTATAACAGCAGAAAATTTAAAATAACCAGGATTTCCATAAATTGGGGATTTGTGGAATAAATGTTGATACATCAACAGTGAAACAGAAAAGAACAGTTTAAAAGGATGAAGTAGGGTGCCTGGCTGGCTCAGTCTGTACAGCATGAGACTCTTGATCTCAGGGTCACGAGCTCAACCCCCACGTTGGGGGTAGAGTTTACTTAAAGAAAAATAAAGACATAAATAAAAGGATGAAGTAAGTCTATGTATATTGACAACTAGTGCTATCCATGATATATTGTTATGAAAGACAGAAAGTTACACATCCCACTTTTGTTTAAAAAATTAAAATGTGTATAATGTACATATATAAAATGTATATATAAATATATATTTAAAAGAAGACAGTCAGGAGAGAGATACCCCAATTGTAACACTGGTTATCTCTGGGGATACTTTAAACACTACTGCATATTTAATAGTTTACATTTTTTGTTTCTATTAGCAGACTTCAGTTTTTATTTATTTATTTTTTAGATTTTATTTATTTATTTAAGAGTACGTGTGAGTGCACGTGCGTGCAAGGTGGGGGAGGGGGTAGACAAGCAGATTCCGTGCTGAGCACAGAGCCCTACATGTTACGGAACCTGGACTGGATCGCCTGACGGAAGAACCAAGCGGCACCCGGAGATCTTGGAGGACAGGTTTATTTAACGCCAGCAAGCTCAGAGGAGAGCGGTCTCCAAAGGTCTCAGCCCCACAGCTTGATCTCATGACCCTGAGATCATGACCTGAGCTGAAATCAAGAGTAGGACGCTTAACCAACTAAGCCACCCAAGCACCCCTGAATTTTTTTTTAAACTATCTAGTTGGTCTTTTTTTTTTTCTTTAGTATTTATTTATTTATTTGAGAGAGCGAGCACACGAGTGGGAGGGGCAGAGGAAGAATCCCAGGCCGACTCCACGCTGAGCACAGAGCCCGACCCAGGGCCTCTCCCACAACACCAAGATCATTACCTGAGTGGAAACCAAGAGTCAGACACTTAACTGACTGAACTACCCAAGCTCCCCTAGTTGGTTTTTATCTACAGTGCCATAGCTCACAAGAAACTGAAGACAATTTAAGTAACTATCAATAGGACACTAGATGAATAAACTGTAGTATTTCATGTAACCATATGCACCATTCAAAAAGAATGAATGTATAATCATTCAAAAGAATGATTATATTGTGAGTCACTGATTTCAGTGACTCACAATATAATCATAAAAATATAAAAGGAAAACTTTAAGTCCCAAAAGATTATATACAGCATGATACCCTTTTTAAAAGTTGAATGCAACTTAAAATACATACACATGCATACACACATTTTAGGAATATACATGGAGTCATTAAAAATATATAAAGTGTGGGTGCCTAGCTCAGTTGGTAAAGGATGCAACTCTTGATCTCGGGGTTTTAAGTTCAAGCCCCACGTTGGGTGTAGAGATTACTTAAAAATAAAATCTTTAGGGCGCCTGGGTGGCTCAGTCATTAAGTGTCTGCCTTCAGCTCAGGTCATGATCCCAGGGTTCTGGGATCGAGCCCCGCATCGGGCTCCCTGCTCCGTGGGAAGCCTGCTTCTCCCTCTCCCACTCCCCTGCTTGTGTTCCCTCTCTCTGTCTGTTAAATAAATAAAATCTTAAAAAAAATAGTCTTTAAAATTATATAAAATGAAAAGTAAGGAAATAATCAAGTTAAGAAGGGTGGTTACCTAGGTTCAGGAGAAGCTGAAGATGGGATAAGGGGACAGGGAGATTATGGAGTTAGACATAGGATATCATCCAGGGATGAGTTAAAAGTCCTTACTATATTATTAAAGGTAATTAAATATGTAAATAAAGGCAGGGATCAATGCTGCACGGACCAATGCCAAGGATGTATTAAGAATCAAGGATAATGATTAATTCAATTCTACTGTACCTGAGGTTGAAAAAAGATTAAGAAAATCCTTATGTAATATTAAAAATTAATTTTAGGTAAGAGTTTTAACTAAATGTGCCTCAAAAGTAGGAATTTTGAGGTGCATCCCAGCTAATACTAACAATTTGACAAGGTAATGTCAGTAAGTTTGCCAACCTTTTTTTATTCCCTTCGGTCGGTAAAGCATTCTATAATAGGCTCCTCAAACCCCATCTCCTCCCCACTGCTCCACCCTAAATACCCTCCCCTCCCACAATAACCTGCCCTGGGAGATTTCAAAGTTGATGGGAAGGAAAGTGTTTAAGTGGGATATTTAGCAAAGAAATTTAAACTTAGGAAAGGAAGTTTAAATTCAGTTCTTTGTTAATAGCAAATTCGCATTGCACTGGCTTAGAATGCAAATGTAAGGGAGCTGGAGAAGGGTGGCCAGGAGATACAGATTTGAATACATCCCTCAAATCAAATCAATGACAAGGAGTAAAAATTTTGTTTGCAACTAAGAAATTTATGTGATGTCTTAAAGAGAAAAGGCAGCAGTAATTTCATTTATTGTAGGGGGCAAAAGGCAGATCTAGTTCCAAGTTCTGGGCAAGAGACTTGAATTGTATCAGAATCACGGATGCAGGATTTAAATAGTCTCCATTATTCTCTGCTGAAAGGCAAAATTTCATAGAGCAAATACCTTGGGAATAGCATATATCATCTGTTTCAAAAGTTGATCCATGCCACCTAACACTGGCATTTGGATAGGAACCTGGAAGAGCCAGGGGTTTTCCTGATCAGGGCCAAAATAGTGTGGTATCAAGCACGCCAGAAACAACCACTTTACATCAAGGAGCAGGAAAAATATTTCACTTTGTCTGCAGTTCTGGGAGGGTTTGAGGTAAAAGAATTTCACACAGTGCCTGTCAAACTGCTTGCTTGGGTCCTCAGTGGTTGCCACCTGCCCTACCTTTCCTAATCGCATTTCTTCTAACACCTGTGCTAGGCAGAATACTGATTTCCCGCTGTCCTTCCCAATGCCTATGTCCGAATTAATACAACCTATAAATATGTTAGGTTACATAGCAAGGGACAATTAAGGTTACAAATAAAGGTTGCTAAATCAGCTGATCTTGAGCTGAGGAAGTTGTCTGGTGGGGCCAATGCAATCACAAGGGACTGTTAAAAAATAAACTGAGGCAGGGCGCCTGGGTGGCTCAGTCGGTTAAGCGGCTGCCTTCGGCTCAGGTCATCCCGGGGTCCTGGGATCGAGCCCCGCATCGGGCTCCCTGCTCGGCAGAGAGCCTGCTTCTCCCTCTCCCTCTGTCTGCCGCTCTGCCTACTTGTGCTCTATCTCTGTTAAATAAATAAATAAAAATCTTTAAAAAAATAAACTGAGGCATATTTAAAATTTGAAGTTTGAGCAAAATTCAATTCTAACAGGGCAGTGCCAAATGAGAAGTGGGTTAAGAATGCTCAGGCTTCTGGAGCCAGGGGAAAGGAGAAAGTGCAAAAAGTAAAGAAAGGAAATCGATTGGCTATAGCTTTAAGCCTAGTTAGTTGCTTCTGATTGGTTGTCCTTAGTGGGTTTTATTTAAATAATCTCTACACGCAACAAACATGGGGCTGGAACTCACTACCCAAGATGAAGAGTCCATGCTCCTCTGAGCCAGCCAGGCATCCTGTCCTTAGTGTTTTGCTTTCCCAATCTTGAGGCATTTACAGGTTTAGATTTCTGTTTGCTTAGTATGTCCCCAAAGCATTAGAGCCATCTCAGTTCAATGACCTTGTTTAACTTAACAGGCCCTTAAAAGTAGAAGAGGGAGGCAGACGGGTGTGATATGAGACTCTTAACTGGATTTAAATAAGCCAAGAAATGCTGACAGCCTCTAGAAGCTTAAAAAGGTGACAACAGATCTTCCAGAGCCTCCAAGAAAATAATGCAGCCCTGCCCACACTTTGACTTGGGCCCAGTGAGACCAATCTCAGACTTGTGACCACAACCGTAATGTGTTTTAATTGCAGTTAAGAACACTTAACTAGAGATCACCCTCTTAACAGATTTCAAGTGTACATACACAGTATTGTTAACTATAGGCACAATGAGGTACAACATATCCCTAGAGTTTATTCCCCTTGAGTAAACGGAATTTTTTAAAAAGCAGTATAGCTTAATTTGTTTAGTTTTAAGCCACTAAGTTTGTGGTAACTACTTAGAACAGTAGTAAGAAACTAACACAGCATCTAATCCAGAAAGCCCCCTGAATTGCAGTTTGTTCCAAGCATTCACAAGTTGGCCTCCTCTTTATCTCCTCTTTACTGTTTCCAGGAGGACAGGGACTGTCCTATAAACCCCTGATTCCTAGAGTTCATTTTGTTCTGCCGCCGACTAGTCCGTCACTTTTGCTATTTCACATGTGACAGGTAAAGAATTCTCGGTTTACATAGAATGTAAGCACATTATATGGCTCTTTGGGATCTTTTTCCCTATTAACCCTTAAATGTTTGAATTTTTTGTTTTGCGAGAGTGCTGGGTAAGAGGTTACAACTGGATTAGCGTCTATCAAGATCTGGAAACCACCAACTCAGAATCTATTTAGAAAGGGCTTATTAAGTACAGACTTCCAGGCCCTACCGACCTAAAGAGGCCGAATCAGATTTCCTCACATCGGGGTACAGGAAACTATATTCAAAGGTTCCATGTGTGATCCCTTAGCATACTTATATTTTACATCAAAAACTTGCCTCTAAACTGCTACAGAAAAAACATTATTCGCCTTTCTTTTTAACATTCGGAGCCCAGCTTCTCAGAGGCCGGTCCGTGCCTCCTAACCGCCGGCGACCTCCCGGACAACCAGCGTCAGCCAAAAGCTTCAAGCCGGGTGAGGAAGGATCTGGAGGAGCCAGTTTCTCCCAGATCGGAATCCCAGTCCCATCCGGAACCCTCCACGCCAAGAGCGCGGAGGTACCCCCAGGTTCCCCACCAGCTCGGGGACCGAAATCCGCGATGTGGCCACAAATCCGAGAACGCGAGGAGGCGAGAGAGCAGGAGCATCCGCACAAAGAACCGAGTTCTGGCATCGAGGCAGTTCTCGGCCATGGCGGGTCCGGCGAAAACACGCCCGTTCCAACGCCAGGAAGCAGTGAGCCCTCCCGCCGGCGGAGCGCCGAAACCCCTATTGGCCCCGTCTTGCTCTGCGTCCTCCTTTAGACCCCACCCCCACTGCGGCTACGGACGTTTGAGAACTGTGCACCGCGCCCTGCCGGAAGTACTTCCCTGGGCGGAGGCTTCTGAGCACGATATAGCGGAAGTTCCGCCTCTTCCGGCCTCTTTGGGTCTGCCGCGGAAACAAGATGGTGAGTGTTTCCAGTGGTTCTCGGAATCGCCTTCCATCCTCGTCCTCTGCGTCGCGCTCTTTGCTATTCTTAGGGGGTCGGCAAGGTTGCTGACAGAGGGAGCGGGTGGGCAGGAAAGGGGCATGCGGTGGACCCCAAGAGCCAGAAGAATGGCTCCTGTGTCTGGGGATGCTGAGTCTACAGCCGTGGAGCAGGAGCCAGTGTAGGTTCCTTGTTTTCTTTTGATCTTTGGAGAAGTGTTGCCCTCGGATGAGAACTGAAGGAAGAAGCGTGGTCTGGGAGTGTTTGGCTCTGTAAGCAAAAAAGTTAATTGTTGAGTCCTGGCAGGAGCTCTTAGGTTTGGGGGTCGGGGTAGGTAGGAAAACCACCACGTTATTTCGTCTTGCGGCTTGTCTTCTTTCTCTCTCTCTCTCCTTTAAAGAACGTAGCCGATTTCAAAATAAAGCAACCCCTGCAGAAGGCTTTAGATACCATGAAATGCTGGTAGTGGTCTCTGATTTTGCATTTAAGAACTTAGGAAGTTCCGCCACGGTTGCAGCCCTAGATTGTCTTTAAGCTTCTCTCTTTAATTGGCTTTAAAAAATCTTAGTAATTTCTTTTCCTGAAAACGTCGGGATATGTACAGAAATCACTAGATCTCAAAATTGTTCCTCTCCTTTGCAGACGAAGGGTACGTCATCGTTTGGAAAGCGTCGCAATAAGACGCACACGTTGTGCCGCCGCTGTGGCTCGAAGGCCTACCACCTTCAGAAGTCCACCTGTGGCAAATGCGGCTATCCTGCCAAGCGCAAGAGAAAGTGTAAGTGGAATGTGTTTCCGGCCGACTGTGTCAGGTGTTGGGATGGATGTCAGTAGTCTCTTGTTTGCGATGTAGCAAAGTGGGCATGGCTTGGGACATTAGTTGGTACTTAACGTAAAAGTGTATCTGTATACGGATGAAGTGGATTTAAAAAAACAAGGAAGGCAGTCTTTACGTGTGTTGACCAACGGTGCCCATAACGTATGTGGGGAAAATCAGAACCTTACCTGAATTTGTGTTTTAGATAACTGGAGTGCCAAGGCTAAAAGACGAAACACCACTGGGACCGGTCGAATGAGGCACCTAAAAATTGTATACCGCAGATTCAGGTACAGTTTTTTGTGTTTTCATCGTAATTGGTTGTGAGCTTGGAGAAGAACCTCCTTTATCTGCTGTAAAATAAGGATACTACCCCGTGTTGAAGTGTTGGAAGGTATTTTTTTCTGCTGCCACTGTAACCTTCAGATCAGTTAATCTGGATTGTGTTAATCTCTCAATGAACAACAGTATAAATAAATGTCTGGAGTGCGGTTTGAGCTAGACACCCTAAAATGTAATAATAATTCTTAGGGATAGGTTACACCTCATTTTCTCATCAAAATTTGTCAAGACAATAGTGGTGAATGAGGTCTGGCATTGGGCCTTCACTTATGTGGCTTTGTGCAAATCTGCTGTAGAAAACCATCATAGTTACTGCATTTGTATAGAAAGAAAGAGATCTTACTGTCTTAAAGTCAGGCTTTAGAGTTGTTAGAAATGGAGAATTTCAGCCCCAACTTACAGAGAAACTGCATTTTAACAGTGTCTTTTAAGATGTCAGTTATTTAGGTCTCAACTAAGATAATTCTTCGTTGGGTAGACTGTCCTGTGCTGTGTGATACTTAGCAGAATCCCTGGCCTTTGCCCCCTCAATTCCAGATTTTCTAGCTCTAAAAGATCACCAGGCATTTTGGGACTTTGTAAACACAACACCCTTAGATGTGTTTGTGTGCTGAGGAGACCTTCTTTGCACTTCAAAGCATAATACAATAGTGTGGGCTTGTAGTGAGTGGACTGCTATGTAATGTAGGAGTTAGCATGAACTGAAGGCAGACTAAGCTTTAAAAGTGGGGTAACAGTACTCTTTCTCCTTAGGATGTGTGTGTATAATAAATGAGTTAAAATGTAAAGCATAGTTAAGCAGTTTAGAAAATGTCAGTGATTAAACATGCTCCTTATTTTGCCTTGATTAAAAGAAAGTACTTAGGGTCTCTGCCTGCTAACCTAGGGACCCATTTTCAGAAATGGGTCTCTTAACACAAGCAGGAGAGAAGTACTGGCCTGGTGATCGGGACAACCAAATAAATTCTTGACCTTTTTTCCAACTGCAGTTAACTGTATGTTTAAAACAGGTATCTTAAAGCAGAAGAAAGTAAATAGAATATTGTAGCTTATCGATGATGGTTGTAAAAATAAATGTCTGAACATATGAATTTGATACTGATTTCAGCATTTAACTGAGATAAGCTCATTTCAATCTATTAATAAAAATTGAAATGTATACACTGTTGCTGAAGTAACTGGTTTTCATTTTTAATACGATGCAGGCATGGATTCCGTGAAGGAACAACACCTAAGCCCAAGAGGGCAGCTGTTGCAGCATCCAGTTCATCTTAAGGATTTCAACGATTAGTCACACAATAAACGTTCTGGTTTTAAAAAAAATACCTGGTGTGCTAAGGTATTTTTAATAGCCTTGTAGTATCAGTGAATTGCCATAGGATTGGGGATGGGACAGCTTAATATTTAGATTTACTTGTTAAGTGACTGTTCTGGAGCACTACCTTTTGAACTGGGTTGTGATACTGCTTAGGAGGATAAGAAACAAGCAGAATTCCAGGACTCCTTCAAGCACGTAACACTGGAAAACGATAGAAAGAATGCAGTATGAGTTAGCACAGCAGAGCTCATGATACATATGGGTGTTTAAGATGTTAAGAGTAGGGGCATCTGGCTGGCTCAGTTGGAGGAGCATGGAACTCTTGATTTCAGGGTCGAGTTTGAGCCCCGTGTGGGGTGTAGAGACTTAAGTAAAACTTAAAAAAAAAAAAAAGTAAATGAAAAAGCATAACCGCTTTTAGTAATATTCATGTGTTATACTCTAATGACTTTGGGGAGTGGTCATCAATCATACGTGATAGGGTTTGGAGACCAGTGAGAACGTGAAGGATAGTGATTGAATGAGTTGTTTTTGGAAAGGTGATCTTAATTCATTCTAGTCTCCAAAATGCTTGCTTGGTATCTAGCATATAGGCTTGTGTGTGATGTAGGTGGCCAGCTGAGTATTTGAAGCTACTTGCTAGGTGTGAGTCAAAAACCCTTGAGTGGGATGGATTAAGAGAAAGTTGGGCCACATGCAAATGAAGTGGCAGTGGATTGAGTACAGAGTAAAGGAAAGCCAAATATATAAACTTAACATCTGTAGATGAAAGGCAATGATAAATAGGTCCCCAGTAGAGTTTCTTTAACCATCAACCAATTGATCATTGATTTTTCTGTGTTAAAGGACTCTGAAATTTTTCGCCATGCTTTCCCAGTTCTGGTGGTTTATTGCCAGTATTTTGCAATGAGGAGACAAGGCCAACACAGACTGCTGAGTGAGAGAACGGAGATTAAGTGGAGCACAAGTGTTAATAAAGTGGCCAAGTACTGAGTAATTTGCTTCTTCCCATTGATCACAACCTGACCTGTAAAGGATTTTCATGATCTTCAGTGCCTTGCCAACCTTACCTTTACTGCGCCCTGCAATGCTTTCCCAAGATACTAGCTAAGTCCTGCCTTCCTGCCCCTTTTATTTTTTTAAGATCCATTTATTTGAGAGAGCAAGCACAGGTGTGTGAACGGGTAGGGGCAGAGGGAAAGAATCTCAAGCACACACCCTGCTGAGTGATCTCAAGACCAAGATCATGACCTGAGCCAAAATCAAGACTGGGGTGTTTAATGATTGAGCGACCCAGGTGCTGCCCTGCTTTTTTTCTTTAGCTTCTAACTCATCCTTAAGATCACAGTTACATTCATTTGGGGGAGCCCCAGCTCATCTAAACACATTGGACTTCCCGGTGTGAGACTAGAGTGACAGCTCTGCTCCAGGGATGTATTGTTAGAGCCTGGTTCCTGGAGTCTGGTTGCCATTTGTTAGTGTGATTTTACTAACTTAACGTGCCTCTGCTCACTGGCAAACTGGAGGGCTGATGGTAACTTTATGGACTTGTGAGCACAGTCAATAGTAAGGAAGTGAAGTTGCTTTTACCATAGTCACAACCTAAAGTAATTAAGAGTTGAGTTAATGAAATTGAAAAACAGCAATTTTAATATGCAGGTGGCCTTTGAACAACACACATTGGAATTTTTTTTTTTTTTATGATTTTAGTTATTTGACAGACACAGCGAGAGAGGGAACACAAGCAGGGAGAGTGTGAGCAGGGATCTCAATGTGGGGCTCGATCCCAGGATCCTGAGTAATGACTGAGCCACCCAGGCGCCCCTGAATTGTGAGTTCAATAAATGCATTACAGTACTATAAACTTCACTGGGTTTAACTTTTTTTTTTTAAAGATTTTATTTATTTATTCATGAGAGAGCGGCAGAGGGAGAAACAGGCTCCCAAGGAGCAGGGAGCCCGATGCGGAACCGAATCCCACGAGTCTGGGATCATGACCTGAGCTGAAGGCAGACGCTTAACTATCTGAGCCACCCAGGCGCCCTGAATTTAACGTTTTCTCTACCTTTATTGTAAGAGTACAATGTATAATATATATACACAATGTGTGTCGACTTAACCAGTAAAGCTTATAATCAACAGACTAAGGTTTTGGAGAGTTGAAACTTACATGTGCATTTTTGACTACATGGGGTGTTGGTACCCCAACACTTGCATTGTTCAGGCTCAGCTGTACTTGAGAGAATTGAAATAATCTGATTTGCTGTCAACATCTTTCTGAAATCTTTCAGTGTCACTAATGGTTCCTGAGCAGTGGAGGGACCCACTAAGCTAGGTATTGGCCAGTATGGAATAAATAGTAGGCTGTGGGGCAAATGGGCACTGACCTGAACACCTGTGAAATTATGAATTCTGGGTGAGGAAAAGCATTGGTGCAAAGGGTGAGGGGCCAGGTGGGCAGTGATGCATTAACAAAGGCCTGTGTTTATTTTTTTTTAAAAGATTTTATTTATTTATTAGTGAGAGAGCACGAGAGGGAAGAGGGTCAGAGGGAGAAGCTGACTCCCTGCCAAGCAGGGAGCCCGATGCGGGTCTCGATCCCGGGACTCCAGGATCATGACCTGAGCCAAAGGCAGCTGCTCAACCAACTGAGCCACCCAGGCGCCCAAAGGCCTGTGTTTTTTGAGTGTAAGGTGAGCTGACTTCATTTGCCAGTGCCTGTGGCCCTTAGAATAAGTTTGGAAAATTACTCTGGTGCTACGGTAATTATCCTTGCAGATCATAGAAAGCTCATGGACCAAATGAAACCACCCTCCTCAGTTAAATTGATTTTAAGGCCCAGGGAGAAGCAATGGGAAAGAGATGGGGCTGGGTTGGCACATTTAGAATAGAGAGCAAACAGGTGGATTCAGATGAGTCATAGTTTGCAGAAAGTTCGTGTCTTGTCTGATGTTTCTGATGATGTCCTGAGCATTGGTTGAGGTTTGGGCAGTGGATCCCAATCTGACAAAAGATGTCCCACTTATATTAAGACAGTAAAAGGTACACCTGACCCACTCAGGTAGCTGTTACCCATACTGAACTGCTGAGAAATTTGTGTTTCTTGGGCAGAGGGTACTCAGGACCAGTTGAGTATCACCAGTGTGTTGCCAAAATGAGATCCAGAAATAATCGAGTGCTTCATGTCTCATGTATTGTTTACCTGGCTCTTTAATCACAGATCCTGTCGTTTATCAGGTCAGGAAGAAGGGAGAGGGTTGGCAAGAGAAGCATCTGGAGGGGTAAGCTGAACAAATGAAAGGTTTTGAGTACCATAGCTAAGGAGTTTGGACTTTAGCCTGAAGGTAATAAATCATTGAAGGTTCCAACCCTGCAGTGGCATGATTTGTTTTCACTAGCAAGATAAATGTAGAAGGTGGTGATGTGGATGTCACTGAAGCTGGAAGATCAGGTAGCAGGTTCTGAAGTTTATGTGAAAATCATAAGGATATGGACTGAGGCAGTGGGGCTGGCTGTATTGGGAAGTTCTCTAATGAGAATACCTGAAATTTGAATCGAAGGGAGCTTCTAAGCCTCCTGTTTCCTTCTGTAACATAGCCTGTGTGAGGATTCCATGAGGTCATATGTGCAAAAATATTACCAAGAAGTTAGGGGTCTTGGATGATAGGGTTCTAACCAGGGCAAGAGGTGGTTTGTGCATTTCACTGAGATGGAGTAGAGTAGAATGGAGGCAAGGGGGAAGTACTAAAGTTGGTTTTGTTGCAATGCCTGTGGGACATCACAAGGAAGTAGTGCGGAAGAATTGAGTAAACCTGGTGGCAGCTGGAGCAGAAGGCGGGGCTGGAGCTCTACACTGGAAGTAGTGAACAGAGTTGGGAAAGGGTTTTTAAGGGTTAGAATGGGGAAGATAATTTACACAGATAAGAGGTGATGGTGAGACCTAGCGGGCATTTAGAAATGGTGGTGAGAGAAGAGGATACAATTTCTTGACTGAGGAACTTCAGTAGCCATCCTTGATAGTTGAAGCTGTTCGAAAATATACAAACTCAAGGAAAAAAGACAATGTAGAGAGGCTCAAAGAAAGATTTGGGGAGATGTCCACAGACAAGAGAGAGTGGTTCATTCATTTATTCAACATACAATGTGCCTGGTAATGTACCTACTATGTGGCAGGCCATGTTAGAGGTGCAGTGGGAACAAAAACACGCAATTGAAGTGGACAGTTGACTCCAGTGGTTGCAGAATTAATTAGCCCATGAACTAGGACAGGATTGAGTCATACAAAGAAAGAAAGATTATTTGAGGGGGCACTCAATCACCTGGCTGTGGCCAAGAAAAATGAAGGGTTTTTTTTTGGTTCTGTTTTTTGAAAATGAAGATTTTAAAAATAAAGACTTCCAGGGGCGCCTGGGTGGCTCAGGCAGGTTGAGTGTCTGCCTTTGGCTCAGGTCATCATCCCGGGGTCCTGAGTGGAGCCCTGAGTCAGGGTCTCTGCTCAGCGGGGAGTCTGCTTCTGCCCCTCCCCCCGCCTCGTGTGCACACACACTCTCAGATAAACAAAATCTTTAAAAATAAAGACTTCCAGATTTGGCAAAATTTGGGTTAGTGTTTACTTTCCATAAGCTTTATTTCAGTAGAGAATTGAGAATAAAGCGAGTTTTCTAGGGATTCAGCAAAGATCAGGCAATGAGGAATGGAAAGTTTAAAAAAGATGCTTTGGGATGGTTACCTGGAAATTCTATGGTTTCCTTTATTTCTATTGATGATATAGTGCCCTTTCTCCTGAATCAAATACCTGTTCAGTGACCTCTGTGTGCCAGAAGCAGGTCCAGGTCTCGGAGATAGGTGGAAAATGACAAAGGACCCTGCAATCTGACAGATTGCAGTTGGGTGTACATACGCTTGTGTGTGTGTGTTGGAGGGTAACTGGGAACAAGTAAGCAATTTCAGGTAGTGATAAATGCTGTAAATGTGATAGAGAATATGGGGGGTAGAGGACCCTTCT